GGGGGGTGGGAGGGTTGGGGGGGCTGGGTGATGGACATTGGGGAGGGTATGTACTATGGTGAGCGTTGTGAATTGTGTAAGACTAATGAATCACAGACCTGTACCCCTGAAACAAATAATACATTATATGTTGATAAAAAAAAAAAGAATCTACAATTACAAAAATTTATTGATGAATGAGACCTTAGAGATTACGGACTTCTATTTTCCCTTACTTTATAGATGAGGCAGCTGACCCAGAGTGGGCAGTGACTCATCCAGGGTCACACAGCAGCTGAGCAGCAGAGGCTGGAGGAGACTCCCATCCTGTCCCAGGCTCCTCCTCTGCCTCAGGCCTGTCCTGTGACCCCCTGTGCCTTTGCTTGTACATATTGAGCTCCGGGGCCTTCCACACAGTCATGGCCACTGTCAAGACATTTCACCTTCTAGACCCATCTCTTGAAAAGTCATGCCACTGGGAAGCAACTGTGTGCCCACAATAGATGGGGTAAGTCCCACTGACACTCAGTCCGTGGGTTGAGCGCTCAGGTCTCTGCTGCCCTAACCAATGGCTTTCAGGCCACACATTGGGAAGAGGCCTGTAGTGTTCAACTTGTGTGAGAACTGGGATGCATGTGACTTAGGTCTGAAGGAATAAGCCCATTGTTCTAAAAATAATGCTACTGACAGCTCTGATGTGTTGAGAGCTTCCTATGTACATGAGGTTCTCAACATACTTTATGTTTGAGCTCATTAAATCCTCACTATAATACTTGGAAGTAGCTAGTTTTATTAATTGTGCTTTATCAATGGAGAAAATGAGCTTCAGAGGTATTCTTTTAAATTTCCCAAAATTACGTAGCTGGTTAGTGGTGAAACAGTAAAACTGGAACTCCAACCCCCATCAACTTGCTACCTCACTGTGTGTATGTAACTGCTCTGATGTCTCGGAGGTCCAGCCCAGCAGGGAAGACACAGGGCTATGGCCCTGCCAGCAATAGCACATGGTCTTAAGTAGTATCTGGGCACCCCCATAACCCTCACCCTGCTGTAATTTCCCCAGCAACAGAGTGAAGATAATCAGCCTCCTGCCTGCCCTGTGCCTGACAGCCAGGGAGCCATTCAGAATAGTAATGAGCCCACGTCCTGGAAACCCCCAGTGCTCCAGGAAGAAGTGGACATTAGGGTGCCCATAAGTCAGCTTCTGGCTGGCAGAAAAGATCCAGCTCCCCAAGTCAGGCTCTTAGCGTTTGGATGTCATAGGCCCATTGAGGATATGATTTTTTAAAACTCTGGACTCTTTTTCCCAGAAAAATGCACACATATAGATATCTATATTTTTGTATGACCAGGAGTCAGGGGACGATGTATACTCCTAGAAGCCCATCCCAGGACTTCAGATGAAGAATATCTGCCCTACATAATAATCAAACCTCTTAGTCTTTGTGTTTGCAATCTGTTAGCCAGTGATCAAGCTTATCAAGGTGAAGGTATCCCCAGCATTTTGCCAGGTGAGATCTGGGGTGGTGTGGGCAATAGGGGTGTAAGACACAGTTCCTGCCTTTCAGGACTCAAGACCCACTTTTGAATGGAAGACAAATTTGAGAAACACTAGCTATAAAGGTTAGATTAAGGGCTAAATAACATAGCCAAGCTCTCAGTCCTCTGGATGGTCACAGCAGAATGCCTTGACTGAGGAATGTGGACATCAGCAAGGCTTCCTATAAGAATGGGACTGGGGCTTTAAATAAGGTGATCATATAATTTATCATCAAAACTGGGACATTTACGAGTGAAAGAGAAAGCTATTATCAGTTATTCCAGAACAAGAGATATAGACTGGAACTGTCCCAAGCCAACTGAGACTGATGGTCATGAAAGCCTTAAAGGAAGGATAAATTCAAACAGAGTGGATTGGGCTTTGGAAGGTATGGAAGAGATATAAATGATATCCAGCAAGAGACTAGAGTCAGGATACAAGCAAAGACTTGTGGGCATCATGCTTGGCTGTTAGGGAGTTAGGAAGAGAAGAGCTAGGTTCTCACCATGGCTCCACCAAGTTCTAGCGTGAAGATCTTGGACTAACTGCTCAACTTTTCTGGCTTTGATTTCCTCATCTCCTAAATGTATGTAATCCTCTTAGCACGCCTGCCTCATTGGCTTGTCACAAGGCTCCAAATAAATAAATAAATAAATAAATAAATAAATAAATAAATAGAAAAAAAGAAAGAAGAATGTATAAGCTTCTTTGAACATGGGGGCAACTGAATGAGATAATTAAGGCCAAGTTATTCTTCCCATTGTGCAGGTGGAAAAGTGGGAGCTCAGAGGGGTCCTGAGACTTGCCCTGGCCAGAATAAACAGAATGTGGTCCACCGGGACCTAGTCCACAGGCCCTGATTTCCCGCACCCAGTGGGCACTCAGGAGGAGGGGCCAAGAGGATGAGATCCACCTGAAGGCAGCCACAACGAGGTTACAGAAGCCCTGGGTCCAGAGCATCTCTGCTGTCTCCCCCAGGAATAGGGGACGAAGAAATCTGCAGTGTTGATGCCTCAAACAGTGGAAACACCACCCGGCACTCCTCCAGCACCGGGCAGGAAAGAAAAGTTGTCCTTTAGCATCTCATTTGTGGTAGACTCTGAGCTGGCGCCCAGTACCACTTGCAGGAAACCACGGCTAATTCTGTTTTTCACAGAGGAAGCTGGCAGGCACCAGGATGGCAGCAGGAGTTTCAGCAAGCAAGAACTCAGTCTGACCCCAGTCTCCCTCGGATGGGTGATGGGGGCGATGAGGGCCAAGAATCTCAGCCCTGATGGATAGGACAGCAGTTTCCTGATTTGCCCAAAGTGGACGTTTCTGAGAAGCTGCTGCTTCTGACTCTAAGTTCCAACTGTCCACATAAATGGTGTGGGGCTGAGCCATTCGGTTGACCTCTCCTTGCTCTGCCATCATGGAAGGGTGATTCTGGGACATCTCCTTTCCCACCCTTTGATCTATTTCAGTGTGTATAAATCTTAGCTTCTCCAACTAGATGGTAAGAGCCTCCAGCTGCCCCAGACCTCTCATGACTTACTGTAAATCCTGAACCCAAGTGCCATAAGCTCCAAGTCTCAATAATCCTATCTGTAAAATGGACAAAATAACTGCCACTCTTGCTCCTTACTGGGTTTCTGTGAACGTCAAATACACATCCTCCTGTGAAAACACATGACAGTGCAAGAGTCCTTCAGGTAGGGGGCCTAGAATTCCACTAATGATTTTTTTGGAAACCGAGAAAGGCTTGTAAAAATGACAGTGACAAGACCTCCTTTTGTGCTGAGAGAGTTCCCTGCTCTGAGATAACAGCTTAGCAGACTCAAGGCTTCAATGTTAAAGTCATCTTATTTGCCCATACCTAACCCACCCTACGACCCCACAGTCAGAGTAGCAACCATCCTCGTCATCCTCATCATTCAAATAATGTACACTTTACATGGAACACTCGTGTCCAGGGAATACGCGAAGCACTTCCATTCTTTGAGGAGGAAACCAAGAAACAGTGGGGCTCAGTGACCTGCTCATGGCCGAGTCATTAGGCATGACCAGAGCATAGCTGGGGAAATGCCCAGCAGAAACAGCAGGTGGTAGTGGTAGGCACAGAGACCATACTGCTGTGCACATTTCAGAGCCTAGCAAGACAACATTGTCCCCTGTTTGAGAGGCCACTTGGCATCATCACTGAAGATACTGGAATATAGAAGAAGCCCTGGATTTTAGGCCTGCCTTTTACCCTGAAAAGTCTTAAGTCTGGAGCAAATCAGTTTACCTTCCAGAGGTTTGGTTTCTCCCACATAAAGGAAGATCATCTCTAAATGGCATACCTCATGAGTTCCTGTATATGGAGATGAATAGGCATGAAAGTGCTTCGTAAACATGAAATACTTGGCAAATGGTGGTAGTTATTATCGCCACTATTACTAACAATAAATAACAGCTGGCCTTCATTGAATACTCACCATGGGGCCAGCATCGATCATAAAATATCTCATTTAATCCTTAAAACAACCTTAAGACATAATTAACTCTTAATTGGTCCCATTAAACAAATGAGGAAACTGAGTCATAGAAATATTACACAATTTATACTAACATGCCATACTGATAATTGGTATGATACGTGAGACCAGGGCCAAAGCACAGATGCCCATTTGGATCATTAATGACACCCCTCCTTCTGTTTGGGAAAATTGGTCATCTGCACGTGTGTCTCAGTCTGTTTTCCCAAATGAGTTACATAAACCAGTACTTGGAACCGAATGAATGGGAAAGCCAGAGATGAGCAAGAGATGACCAAGGTGAGAAAGCAAACTTGCTGACAGATTGCAATGGCTCCATTCCTCTTATTTTTCCCAGGAGGATCTGTGTTTTGTTTTCTCTCTGAAAGGCAAAGCCAGTCTAGACTTTTCCAGAGTGAGGATTTTTCCACATTTCATCTGAGAGAGTGAAGAGCTTGTTGTATAATTTGTTCAGTGCTCTGGGCCTGTCATGGCCTCCCCACTGAGACTCCACACCAGAAGGTGATGAGAGGGTCATCCTCAGAGCCGTCAGTCTCCCTCCTTCCCTCCATCCCTCCCGCTCTGTCTCTCTCTCTTTCTGCTCCCCCACCCCTTCTCTCAAATACATACACACCCCAACTATTCTTATACCTTCTGAGGGCACAGGAGCTGGTCAGTAAGAAAAAGATAAAACCCTGTAAGTCTTCCTTTTGAGCTATTTGAAGGGGGAAATAAACAGTGCGGGGTCATAGGGCCGGGTTCCTGTTGGTGACAGGTAGACATTCACCTCCCTGGCCTTAGGCCACACTGATCTGAGAACACATGGTGGTGGGTCACCATTAGAGAATGTGCTTTCTTGTACCTGAGTAGATGACATACAGCAAGACTCATCCTTCACTGGAGGGTGGACCTGAGTGAGATTTATTGGTCATCTCCAGAGTGGCAGACTTGGCCCTAAAGCTCTTAAATCCCACATGCTGACCACTTGACCTTCTATATGATCTTGAAGATGTGAGGCCCCGAAAGTTTGATCTGACTCATTTGTGGAAAAGAAATCCCATGCAGCATATTTAGGGTTGAATGCAAATTTTGTTTTAACCAGCTGAGACTTGTTTAAAGCCCCGCATGCTCTGGTCTTAACATGAAGACAGGGCTGGAATTTTGGAAACTGGAGGCTTAGGTGAATCATCCAAGGTCACTCCGTTTCCCAGGGTCAAATTCAGGTCTCCCAGTTCCCGGTCTTCGGATTCCCAAGTTTTTATTCCCCAGCCTCACACGGGAACTAAGAAACCATATTCAAGCCTCGCCTGAGGCATCATAAGGCCGGCTTCTTCTGACTCACCAGGGATGGCACACTGGTCCCTTTGCTTCACAGACCTCCTTCTGTTTCTCCACAAAAGGCGTGTGTCTGCAGGGCGGTGCCGCCCATGGTGTGGTCATGATGGGGGTGTCCTATTAGACATGGTGCAGAGATTTCTTCTCAGAATCTACTTTGATCCATGGTTACTGTTTGCCTAAGGCAACAGATGAACAAGGTTTTCAGGATGAATCTCAGTTTGGTTGGAAAGAGAACTGTGCTCTGATGGCGATGTCTGCTGTGGGAAAGGGAGTAGCGAGGTTTTTTGGTAGCCATATTATTCCAAGACCTCATCCCATGTAAACTTCTCAGGTTGTGGACTTTCGCTTCAGCAGAAAAAGCAAACAAGTGGGATTGGGACTTCTGAGTTCATGGTCACTACTTGGTTTCCTTTCCAGGTGCGGTTTGAAGGCTTGACAGGAAACGTGCAGTTTAATGAGAAGGGACGCCGGACCAACTACACCCTCCATGTGATTGAAATGAAGCATGATGGCATCCGAAAGGTAAAGGCCACCTTTGCTTCCATTTCACAGGAAGGAGAGGGCTGGGTGAAGCAGAGGGCCAGAGTGGAGGGCCTTGTGAGCCCATCTTTCCTGGACTGTATCTGCTTAAAGAGACTCAGGCAACAAGGATTCTAGACTCAGCTCTGCCACTAACCAGCTGGGACTTTGGGCAAGTCAGTTTCTTTCTCTGAGAATTAATTCACCCATCTGCAAAATGGAGATAAAAATCTCTACCTTTGTCCAGGGTACTAGTGAAGAACCCAAGGGTAGGAAAGTACTTTGAAAATATAAAGTTATAGATGTATGTGAAATGCTACTGCTTTCTCTGAGGGATTCTGAAGAACTTGAGAATGATGGTTATTGATGAAGTTAGGCCATTTTCTCCTGATCCACACATGATCACATCTACTCCATTTCCCCATGAAAGGAGTGAAAAATATGTGTGTGCATTTATGTATTAATATATAGTATATATGCATATTAATTTTTAGAATACATTCAAATCCTTGGAAAGGCATTCACAATTTTACCAGACCCTGTGTTCTCTGGCCTTTGCCATCTTCTCCACCCTTGACCTTGGACACTCACTCTCTTACTCTCATGACTCCAGTCATTCTGATCGACTTTCATTTCCTTGAATATATCTTGTTCTTCCTCACCTTGGAGGTTTCACACCTGTTCCCTCTACCTGGCACTCTGTCTACCCCATTCCCCTCTTTTTCTAGGCCAACTCCTCCTCAGCCTTGAGCACTGAGAGTAAACGTCACTCCCTAGGGAAGCCTTCCCTGGCCACCTTGCCTCATGGCGGCCTCTATTTTTCTGTCCACTGCCTCCATCACATTCTTTATTCCTTATGGTGTCACAATGCAGTGGTAAGAGGCATGGCATAGTATGATAGAATGTTAGCAGAGTGCCATGGACCGGAATGTTGACTCTGGAATCCTGGAACTCAATCCTGGCACAGACTGCTTATCAGTCTGTGATTCTGGACAAGTTTTCGGGTCCTTCATGCCTTAGTTCTCTCATCTGGTATATGGGGATCACCATATATAATGCCAACCTCATAGGCTCATTGAGAGGATCACATGACCTCACATGTGCAAAAGTTCTAAGTGCTGGACCTGGCACATTGAAAGTTGGGTCTTTATCTCTCAAACTTAATGCTCTCTGTGCCTATGATGTCAAATACAGTTGCTACTAGCTGTGTATGGCTATTTAAATTTAATTTTTAATTAATCAAAATTGAAAAATCAGTCCCTCAGTTGCACTAGCCATGTGGTAAGTGCTCAAGAAGCCCCATGTGGCTAGCAGCTACCATCCTAGACAGCACAGATGGAGACCATTTCCATCATCGCAGAAAGTTCTACTGGACAGCTCTGCTTATGCTCTCTGCCCCCAACTCCCGCAAACCCAGATCCTTTGCTCTCTTATCTGGAACCCCACCCTCCATGTCTATCTTACCACATCCCATTCACCAAGGCTGTATTCATTTCCTATTGCTGCTGTAACTAATTACCTCAAACAGTGGCTTACAAAACACAAATTTATCATAGATCACAAGTCATACTGGGGACTCCCTGGGCTAAAATCGAGATATTAGCAGGGCTGTGTACCTTCTGGAAAATCTGTTTCTTTGTCTTTTCCACTTTCTTCTAGAGACCGCCCATATTTCTCAGTTCCTGTTACCTTTCCTCATCCTCAAACCAAGCAATGTCGTATCTCTCTGACCCTTCTCCCATCCTCACATCATCTCTCTGACCACAGCCAAGAAAGGTTCTCTGCTTTTAAGAACCATGTAGTTAGTTTGGGCCCCCCCAGATAACCCGGGATAATCTCCCCATCTCAAAGTCTATAACTTTAATCACATCTGCAATGTCCCTTCTGCCATGTCAGTTTCTGGGGAAGGGGCATGGACATTGTCAGGGGGGCCACAACCCTGTCTACCACAAAGGCCAGGTTTCATTGTCTCCTCTGTTATCATGCCTTCCACACCCTATAGAAGCCATCTCCTGACCTTTTGTGTTCCCACAGTACATTTGACTCCCCAGGACATCAGCACAACATCCCCTGTTGCAGGGCTATTTACACATATCCCATTCTCCTTCCTTGACTGTGAACATTTTGAGGGCCCAGAACCCATTTCCCACCTTCTACTGGGCACACATTAGGACTCAGCTACCATAGGCCCACTACCTGTGCTAACTTTCAGCAGGTGCCAACCAAGGGCTCCCTATCTGGCTATGACCATAACCATTAGGGGCCTAACCACTTCCCAGCAAACCTTTGGCATGGTGATTGCACAAGGGCATTGTCCTTGGGGAATAAATTTACTGCAAGTGATGCTCATTCCAGAAATAGTCCAAGTCTGAGTTAATTTCTCTTACCCCTGTTCTTCTGACTCCTGCTCTGGAAAAGACATCTGCTAGGTTACTTAGCTCTTATAATCCTCAATTTCCACATCTATAAAATGGAAACATATCATGTATGCACTGGCACCTGATCCTTGTTCAGTGAAAGTTACCTAGGTGAGTGGTTACTGACAGGTATGGCCAATGGCAAGGAGGTAGCACGTGACTAAAGTCTGAACACACTGGGATGACTTATTTATCTTTTTCAAAGCATTCTGTTCTTTGGTGTGATTGTGAAGAATATCAGCCTTCATGATATAGCTTTCCTTTTCTAGATGGATTAACTGAGGCAGGCCAGCCCAATAGGCTGCCTAAGGTCTCACAGTGAGCTATGAATAAATGGGGACCTTAATTTAGGCCCCATGACTCTCCAGGCCACATTCATCTTGCTGTAGCCAGTGTCACAACTAAATGGCTCAAGTGACACAATTGGAACATTTTCAATGACTGGTGGGGGGCGGGGAGTGGCGAGCTCAGAGTATTTTAATGCCCTTAGAAGGGACACCAGTTATGTGACCTCCTTCCCAGACCATCTTCCTCTCAGATGCAGAGAAGGGGTGGTGTCACCCCCTGCAGTGTACATGAAAACATAAAAGTAGTTCTTTTGTGGAAGGCCTTGGGCAGGCAAGCAAGTTTCTCCTACGTATAAAATTGTTGACTATGGTTGGACCTGGGCTCTCTCCCTCAGAATCCTCAGAATGGCCTATTTCCCTCAGGGAAGAAAAAAATACTATTTCCTGGTGGACAAAATTGGCATGTGTCTACTAACAGTTGTGTGTTTGTCAGAATTAGAACATGGATGTTATCCAGTTCTTTTCCCTCCAGGGTAATGGGGTGGTTGAAAATAAAGCCAGATTCTTCTCTACACATGAGCAGCAGGCTAGATATATTGGGGACATAATGGTGATGAGATAGAGACGAAGAGAAGGCAGAGGCTTCTATCCTGGCCCTGCTGTTACCCAGGGGGGTGGCCTTAACTTCTCTGAAGTTAAGAAATGAATGAGAGGTGCTGGGCTATGCAACCCCAAATTCCTCTCTGCCCTGATGCCTTGGATGCCAATCCATGTGACTGCATCTTCGTCAGCCTCACCCCTGCAGTCATATTGTCCATCTCCTGGCTGGACTTCGGCTTCCTCGGAGCAAGAGGGGTTAGGGACCGCCCCCAGCTGCCCATTGGTGCAAACTTCCCCAATCACTCCTCCTGGGAACAGGGGTCTCAGCACTTTGTGTTGACCCTAAACCTCATCAGAGACTGTGGGGAGCCCCCTCATCTCCTCAAGATTTGCACTTCATCAAGAATTCTCCTCAGGGGGCGCCTGGGTGGCTCAGTTGTTAAGCGTCTGCCTTCTGCTCAGGTCATGATCCCAGAATCCTGGAATCGAGCCCCACATCGGGATCCCTGCTCAGCGGGAAGCCTGCTTCTCCCTCTCCCACTCCCCCTGCTTGTGTTCCCTCTCTCGCTGTGTCTCTCTCTGTCAAATA